TATAACTCTCATTTCTTTCTCTCTGCTACATAAGTACTTATGACGTGAAAGAACTTACGAGTAACGTATGATGGCTCAATGCAAGAATATTTAATCACGTAAAAAACTTGAGTTCAAATATATCAATATCAATTTTTTTATAATATATTGGAATATAGAAAATCATAGAAATATATTTTTTATATAGGCGATAAACTTAAAAATTTGATATTGAAAATATTTTAATCATTTTACAACTACACATACTATAAATATATAAATGCAAAATAATTCCGTAAATAAATTTCAAGTAATAAATCAATTGCACACATGCACACAGCTGGTATGTAGATTTTTATTAAATTTATTTTCTGAATTATTTTACACTTATATATAGTGTATGTAGTAAAAATATTTTCAATATATTAAAAAATTTTTAAATCGCCGAAATATATTTTTTTATCATTTTTCTATATTCTAATATATATATATATATATATATATAAAAAATTGATATTGATATATTTGAACTCTAATTTATATACTGGATGATATACTGAACATCCTTGCATTGATTATACATTACTCAACGTTCTTTCACGTTATAAGTATTTGGAGCAAATTATACAATAGCATCAATAATCAAAAAGAAATCAAGAATATAATCAACATATCCCTTATATAATATATATATATATATATATATATATATATGTTATATATATACGTTATGCACATATGTGCATAACCATATATACAATTTCCAAAAAGTGGGTGCTTATTAGTCTTGCTACGTTACTGCTTTCTGCTACGGAAGGCCAGAAAGCATTTTCAGGCGGCATCTCGCGTATACCGGCACGGTAGATGAACAAGGAGAACACGTGATTATCGGTCCTTGTCTCTCTTACGTGCGTCCGCGTGAGCGATGCAGTTGGTGTATGTACGTGTACAGACATACACCACTACATAAAACCCGAGAATTGGTTTCTCGGCGTTGGCAACACTGAAACCGGAGTTTCGCGTTGTCACCGCACGAGGTCTCCAATATCAATTCGGAGTTTGCCTGGGTGTACTGCCACAGATTAATAGACAGATCGCCAAAGGTCTGGATGAAGGAGAGACCAGCATTTCTCACTGATTTCAGCGCCATATCGTAGTAGTGGTCAATGCAGTAACTATTAATACGTTCCCAAGATAAGAGCGTCTCATGCTCATGAACTCGTCCGGCGGCATGTACGAGATTTATCTTTTCGTAGCGTTCGCGTATTTCGGAAAGGACAGAATTTTATGATGTTATAAATAAAAAATAAATAAAATATTAACCTGACCTATTATAATTATTTTTTAATAAATGTTTCATTATTATTATCATCTAAGTCTAAGTCGTTTAATTAATTTTTAGTTTTTTAATAATTAATTTAATTTATTCTAATCATTTTAATATGTGAAAAATACTAATACGTATACGTTTTATAATGAATTAATATATTTCGAGAGTCGAATTATATATTTTTAATAATATAAAAGTGTTCAAAAATTATATTTGACTTTTAATTTTAATTATTTTAGCAAAGAGTTCCGAAATCTCTTACACACATAATAGGGATTTTGTTCATCCATATAATTCGCAATTAAGTATATATGTTAATTATTAATTTTAATAAAATACAAAATTAAAATTAAAGGTCAAATATAATTTTTGAACATAAATATATTTAATTCGTTATAAAACGTATACCCGTGATAGTATTTTTCTCGTACAAAAATAACTAGAACAAATTAAATTACTCATAAAAAAATTAAAAAATAATTAAATAATTTATATTATATATGATAATAATAAAACATTTTATAAAAAAAACAGATTCAATAAATATAAGTATATATATAACATGTACTTATATTTATTGAATCTGTTTTTTAATAAAATGTTTTATAAGCTTAGAAAACTTGACTTTGACGTAACTAGCAAATTTTATTTAATTATTTCACGACGGTTTGACGTAATAAAATGTTTTATTATTATTATATAAAATATAAGTTTAAATTCTTTAATTAATTTTTAATCTTTTATGATTAATTTAATTTACTCTAATTATTTTTGTACGAGAAAAATACTATCATGGGTATACGTTTTATAATTAATTTAATATATTTGTGTTTAAAAATTATATTTGACCTTTAATTTTAATTTTTATTTTATTAAAATTAATAATTAACATATATACTTAATTGCGAATTATATGGATGAAAAAAATCCCCATTATGTGTGTAAGAGATTTCGGAACTCTTTGCTATAAAATAATTAAAATTAAAAGTCAAATATAATTTTTGAACACTTTTATATTATTAAGAATATATAATTCGATTCCCGAAATATATTAATTCATTATAAAACGTATACGTGATATTATTTTTCTCATATAAAAATGACTAGAATAAATTAAATTAATTATTAAAAAACTAAAAAGTAATTAAACGACTTAGACTTAGATGATAATAATAATGAAACATTTTATTAAAAAAAGATTCAATAACTAGTAGGTCAGGTTATAATTTTTTATTTATTTATTTATAACATTATGAGCTATTAAGCTCATCATCTCGTTCGCTCTCTGTCTTGCTTTCATTCGGCAAGTCACAAACGATATATGATACTCGTATGTTCCTACTTCAACTCTCGAGAATCTGAAACAAACGAAACTCGTGTCCAATATACAGGGTGTCCGGTAACTAACAGACCAATGATTACAAATGGATTCTTTGGTCAATTTGGGAACGATTTTTCCTCAGCGAAAATGTCGAAAAAGGTCATCATTTTTTACAACTTTCCAATCTTTGTCATTATGTATCTTTATAACTAAGCCTTAAATTAAAATTTTATTATAGTAAACTCTACCTGAAATTAACTGAAGAATGTAATTATGTTAGACTTTTAACTCCAAAACGTTTAGTTTTCAAAAAACCTATTTTTTTCAATCGCTTATAACTCGAAAATTATTGACTTCTCAACATTTTTGCTAAGGAAAAATCGTCTCCAAATTGGCCAGAGAATCCGCCCTTAATCATTGGTCCGTTAGTTACCGGACACCTTGTATATATTATATAAAAGTGTATAGCACGTCAGAAGCTTGTGAGCTTACAGCGATAAGTAAAAACAATTGCGTATTTATTTCATTGCGTTTATCTGTTTAAACGCGCGCTTTAATTTTTCCAACGTTTTTGCCTGTTTATATTTTAAAGGTCCTCTCTTCTAAAAATCTTGTTTTAAAGATCCTCTCCGCGAGCAAAATTCGAAAACATAAATTATTTAATATTTTTACTTTATTATTTGTAAATCCTCGGTAATTTCAAAATTTTTCTATTTGAAAATTATTAATTTTCTATTGCCAATTAATTTTATCACAGACTTTACTCTTACTCCCATTGCACTTTCGTTTGCGGTTTTCAGTATACGATTTTTTATCGTAGTTACTGAAAATTATTATTGTGAATTATACTTGTGCAGTGATTTGAAGAATTTACAATTTCGTTGAAATTGTTGATTTTTCAAAAAAATTACGAGATTCGCGGAAATTGCGTGCTTTCTTGGCATTTTCCGTTCGCGGCAGGCGGTTTATTTTTGATTGTTGCAAGTGTTTTTGTTTTTTTTTATTAAAATAGATAATAATAATGTGAAATAAATCACGATATTTGACAGATGTGCATATATATAGAAATTGTAATAATAATAATATTATATCATAAAATTGTAAATTGTTTCAATTTTTTATAGACTGCGATAAAAGATTTTACATTTGGATAAGAAACTGCGGTAAGTAAAAATATAAAATTCTTGAAAACGTAAAAATATTTGATAACGTAAAAAGGTGAACTTTGAAAAATAAGGAACTTAAAAATTGCACTAATAAATGGGCTATATATATGTGAGCCGTGCGCGGATGTAAGGTGTGTTATATCGAAATTTAATTAATAGAATTGAGAATTAATCCCAATTTTAAGTCTTACAAATGTCCAAGCTAATTTTTTGTACCTCGTGTACATTTTTGAAAGTTATATCGAAAAATTAAATTTCAATATGCGTCTTACATCTCACATTTCGCATACGGCTCACATATAGCCTATTTATCTCTTATACTTTATTTCAACCCTTATAGAAATTTATTACTAGTAACGCCAATTTATCACTTATTTCGAGTAATTAATCACTTTTATTTCGAATACTTAAATTACTGTATATTATAGTATTTTAAATACTCAAAATAAGTGATTAATTGGCGTAGTGATAAATTTCTACAAGAGAATAAGGAGCCTTTAAATTCTTAATGTAAAAAATTTCAAGTAATTTTCTTTAATAAAATTTAATTAAAAAATTTAATTAAAAAATTTTTGAACACTGTGTTATATCACATTTAAAATCGTGATTATTTCAATAAAAAAACATTTTATGTGTAAAAAATATATTTTTTATATTTAATAAATTTTATATATATATGCATATATGTAAAATATTCTCTCTCTCTCTCTCTCTCTCTCTCTCTCACACACACACACACACACACACACACACACACACAACGGGGGCCAAATCTCTCAAATTGGTCTCATGATCAATTAGCCTGGATTCGCACCAGGGGCAAAGTCTGTTGGTAATGTCAAACGAATTTAGCCTGGACTTGCACCAGGGGCAAAGTCTTTTGGTCGAGTCTACGAAATTTAGCACGGACTCGAACCAGGGGCAAAGTCTTTTGGTTCAAGTCTACGAATTTAGCACGGACTCGAACCAGGGGCAAAGTGTGTCGGTAAGGGGCAAAGTCTATCGCACGAAGATGGCGGTCTCTTCTTTAGGCAGGCCTTTGGCGATCTGTCTATTAATCTGTGGTACTGCCGACCCTTAAGAATTGCAACTGCAAAGCTTAAAACTAACCAAAATTTTACTCACATTTACAATAAGATATATTTATGTTTTGCAGTTGGCAAATTTGCCAACTTTTATAAATTTAACCAGTCGATTAGTTAACCGAAGATGGTGAAACTGGCCTGGATTTTAATTTATAAATTCTAATAAGTAAATATAAATTATATATAAATTAATTTTACTTTCTAATTAAAATTACTGCACAATTATGACATTCAATTATCTATCAATATCTATATTATATATATATATATATATATATCCCATACAGCACAGATTATTGCAATTATATTGCAGCAACGTTGCAATGTTGCAAGTTGCAATGCAACATTATAAAGACATTGCAGAGATATAAGTGCACAAAATTCCAGCACACTTGTAGCAACATGACATTAATATTTCGGAAATATTGCATGTAATCCAAATTCTATAATTTATATATTGTAATATATATAAATTAACTACAACGTATTTTCATTAATGATTTATTTACATTTATATACCTGTATATGCAACATTAGTTTATGGTTGCAATAACAATGCATTATTGCAAACTCATAACATATTGCAATATTGTTGTAATATTTTGTTGCAATCTTCCAAAAAGCGGACATTTTAACATTGCTGCAATTCAACAGCAATGATGTAGCAATATTTTGCAGTGAATTTGCAATATTGCAATATTGCGGTGAAAGATTGTTGTAAAGTTTTTGCAATCTATCGGTGCTGTATGGGATATATGTATATATAAAATTTATTTTTAGCAACTATAGCTATCTCTCTCATCTCTCTACATTCTATATATAGATATATTAATTTCCATCAATTATTAATTCGACTATTTATTTTGCAGTATACATTCATCCATGTATCGGATTTCTCATCGTGTTGATGTATACATATATGTATATATATAAGTATATGCAGAGGTTAACGAGATGCCTCCCCACGCAAGAAAAACCCGATCGACGATGTAAAAATAACGAACGTTTTCTACACATCGTCGAGTAACCAGTACGACGTGCGTATTTTGCACTTCCTCGTCATCACCGACGCGATCTCTCTGTCATTACAATGTAATTGTAATTTACGACCGAGAAGAGATTGGAGAGGAACAAATTAGCAAAAGAAACAAAGTTAATAGATATATATTAGCTAATGTTCGAGAGACGCCACACCGAGGATCATTGATCAATGATTCGCAAGTAAACAGACGATCTTATTTAAAAGGTATATATATATATATATATATATATATATATATCATTAATGATATAATAGAATGAATTACAATCTCCTGCGTATTTTGTGTTTATTGTTTTTATTAAATTTCTCTATTTTAATTCTTCGATTTTATTAGAGTTAGAATTGATTTTCAATAACAATTTAATTAGTAATATAAAAACTTAATTATTGCTCAATAATTTAGAAAAAATGAATTAGATGATAAGTTGATGGATATATATTGATGGAGAATTGGCTTCAAGTGACTCTTGAATCGCATTTCAGAGCACCTCTCTAGAAATTACGACGGCATCTAGACTGCAAGTCGCGTCATAAATCAAGAAAGATGATGTGCATGATTGAAACGACGGGAGGCTCCGCAGGGGTTAATACACCGAGGGTGTATGTGCAACAGCGGCCGGCTTCTCGGAGATATTCGAAGCCGAGAGTGTGGTCCATGCTACGTCCTCTCTCTACTTATCTTCGTGATAGAGGAAAGGTAGGCAAGAAGACGAAGAAAATGTGTGGGAGCACACACGTAAGTAAGAGTACCTATATATGCATATATGCATGGGCGTCCGCAGGATTTTTCCAGGGGAGGATTAAAATTTTATTATTTCGCATCTTTTTATTTCTTATTTTTCGTTCTTTCTTAATTCTTTTGTTATTTTGTTATTTTCATTTTTTTATATTAAATATTAATATATTATATTATTCTTATAAATATTATATTAAATATTAAATTATTTTATATGACATATAAATTCAAAATAAATTTCTTAATTTTTTTATTATTTTTTTAATATTAAATATTAATAATTATATTATTATATTATATATATTATATATTATTATTATTATTATAAATATTATATTAAATACAAATATTAAATATTAATATAATTGATCTAATTTTCACAGAAATAAACGCAGATTAAAAAATCTCTCAACTAAGAAATTTAACAAGCCTAATAATAACAATATAACAGATACTAATAATACTAATACTAACATTAAATATTTTGTCATACCATATATAGAATCAATATCTGAGAAAGTTGCTTCAGCAATAAGAAGACCTGACGTAGTGGTAGGATATCGTTGCATTAAAAAATTAAATGACTTCATAAGAGTTCAAAAGGACAAAAATAATTGCCCCACGAATTCTAACGTTATTTACAAATTGAATTGCAACGATTGTGACGCCACATATGTCGGACAGACAAAAAGACAGTTAGGAACGAGACTTAAAGAACATAAAAATAATATTAAATTAGACTCTGCTAGACATTCGGTTATCACGGAACACATTCTAAACGAACAACATACATTTGACTGGGACAATATTAAAATTATGGATCATGAAAAGAATTACCATAAAAGACTAATATCTGAAATGATCCACATTAAAGAACAGAAAAATGGAATTAATTTAAATACAGACACCGAATTGTTAGACAGTAGTTATTTTGACATACTTAAAAATTTGCTGAATCATAATTTAGAAAAAACATTGGTAATAAATAAATACATCACGCTCTCTATTTTGACATTTGGTATTCAGACTTCGCAACACACACTTGAAATATCGGGGAAAAGGACTTGTTAAAACGATAATGTAAGTTGAAAGATTTTTTAATATTTTCTGACATTGATTTAATTCGCGTATTATATCCGTAGCATGCTCAAATGTCGCATAACTTGGCATCTCAGACCAATCGCCTTGCATATCTATTGGTCAACAGCGAAGAATCGTTTCAATTTTATATTTTAATATTTAACTAACTTTGTATTTTTAACATCTAACTTTATATTTTAATATTTAATTTTTATGTATTGATAAAGACTGTAGTGCAGTCGAAACGTTTACAATTTATATCGATTCTGTAACGGAATGTTAATTTAATGATTTAACTATTAATAAAAAAATTTTTACATCTTATTTATTTGCTAGTTTAGTTGGCCTACTATATATGATTGTTTAATTTTGTTTAATTTATACGAGCCTTTCATTAATTAAATTTAAATATTAAATTATATTATATTAAATATAAATTCAAAATAAATTCCAGCGTTTAAATAATTATTCAAAAGGGAACAAATGTAAAATTTTTTACTGATTCCAAGGGGAGCAAATGCCCCCTCTTACCCCCTGCGGACGCCAATGTGCACATGTATATGCACATCTATATACGTACGTACGTACGTATGTAGGATCTCGCATTGACGTTTACGCGCGAAGAAGCGCGGCGCGGCGAGCCAAGCCGGCTCGGTGACGCGCGCCGATTCGAGCCGAGCCGCCGAGTAGCGGCGAGTTGCGCGGGGCGAATCACCGGGACGGCAAGCAACAGTCGTTCGCCGGACTTGGTGTTGGAATGAGGTGGTCGCGAGATGTGCGCTCGCGTCCAGTGACACGATCTCTCCGCTCTCCCGCGATTATCCGCCGCGATATCGCTCCCGCGTGTGTTGTTCCCCTTCCGAGGATCGTCGACGCTTATTTCCCGAGTACGCACGCACGCATCTACGCCGTATTCGCGCTTCCGGATCGTAAGTACACCGAATCACATCTCTATTATACTCTATTGGATTTGTGCGAGGGATGCGATCGCGCGCGCACCTCCCGGGTTGCATCTCTGACCTCGAGAGGGTTGCTTGCACCGTACAATGTAGGTTACCGTTACATCCGACCTGATACGATGGGGCTTCCGTTCCGTGTAACAGCTAGCGTTACTCTGTAAAAATTTATATTCAATCCGAGGGTATTTTCGTGAGAATATAAATCAAGGTATATGGTCAATCGACGCGATCGGTGTAACTCTGATTTTTCTCTCGAGGGCTCGCATAATATATGTGGATTAGCGTTATGCAGCGATTAAATAATCTTCCTTCTCTTCTTTATGGCATAAGTACATACTGCGAATTGTGAGAATGAGAGTAATATTGTCGATCCCAATTGGTCTTAACCAGTGTGCGACTGATCTCGAAGGGCTGGTCGCACTAATGTAAGTCATCGCTAACTATCTACGGTATTTCCACTATGTTTACAGGAAATCATTAAATCAGTTTCTCCTTTTCTCATGTTTTATTAATCTACATAAAATGTCACCGTGCGGTGGCAGAGATAATTAGTGAGAGCTAACTTATATTATCGATGCGATTCGGAAAACTAGTCGAGAGTATCGTTCCGTGTCGTGTAAAATTTTGGCAAAAATTGCAATTTTAAGATTTCATCGTATAAACAATTGTCTATTTTTATAACTTCATTTTATCGTCGGCTAATAATTTTTCCGAAATTAAATCACTGATTCTTCCGTGAAAGAGAAACGTCTCTTTGAATTTCCGTTTCCATATAAAACTTTGTACGTTGACTTAATTAGAATTAATTTGCCGTAGGGAAATCGGAATTTGGAAAAGTCAACATTCCCGTTAATGGAACCTCTCGCAACTTCGTTGACGAGTTGGTAGCCAAGTGGCGAGACGTTCTTTTCTGGTTCTCCAACGAGATGAACGATGCTCTCGAACACGAAGCTTCGATAATGCAAACACCGAATAGTAACGAAGTAACGCTTCGTCGTCGACACTTCCCTTTCGTTCCATTCTCGAATCTAACGCGCAACCCGCTTTTCGACCGAAATCCCAACCAATTGTTTTTAACGGACCACATCCTCTTTTCGACCCTTTCATCCGTCCGCGGTTTCCAGAATCTCGGCCGCTTTGATGAATTTCGCCAATTGCGTTTGGGCGACTTCCCCGATTCGTCGCGACAATTGTTGTTTTTTCTTTTTTTCTTTTTTATTCGATGTAGAAATATTAAATAAAAATTCGCATCTAGCTGTAATTTTTAATTATTTATATATGTACACAGTTGAAAAATTACGTTAAATTTAATAGATATCACATGCCCACAGAAATTTTTGTTAATTTAACATATGTTAATATTTTAACACAAAATAAATAATAAATGCTTCAAATAATTTAAAATAAATTTTGTGTAAAATTAACATTTTAATGTAAAAATTAACTAAAAATATGTTAATTTTTTAGATTTTATCATCCCTACTTATATTATAAAATAGAAAATCAATATTTTTTCTGTAAATTTTAACAGATAAATCTTGTCACTAATAAAACAACATATTTATTGTGTAAAATAAAAATTGTATTGTACATTGTGTTATCTTTACATCTTTTTCAGTTGTTTTAATAATTTAACATTTAAGTTCAATTAACACAAGAACAATATGTTAAATTAACACATGAACACATTTAATACTCTTGTGTTAAATATTTAAAAGACAAAAATTTTAACGGAGACCGTTTTTAATAACAAGAAAACAAATTTTTCTACTGTGTACGATCTCTTTTCTCTTGATTTCGGGATATCGACAAGATCCTACCCATCCTATGAAATAATGTCACTGAATAATATCCACTCGCCACACATATCGGCTTAATCGACGCTCGTGATACGTTAGATATTAAAGATATATTGTGATATTGGCACACTCAATTTTAACGTCACGTCAGCACGAAAGCGCTTGTCTTAATGAATCGAGTTTGCTTCTCAAAGCTTATACGATTGGTCTAGAGATCGCTTGAAATTTTTATTAATTCCAAGTTTGCGAACGATATATAATTTGTTCTTCTGTAGATCGTTCGTTATCCTTCGTTGTGCGAGAGGCAACCTATATAATTTTAACTCGAGCGAGCCTGTCGGCCAGGAAATATCGGCAAAAAGCCTGATAAGCGTAAACAGTTTCATAGACATCGTGACTATCCGGCAATTTCTTCTCCCCACTTGGCTCTCATGACCCGCAATGCATCGTTGCATCACTATACGTGCGTTAATCGTTAATAATTTTCCTCGCCCGGTCGCCGAGCGAATTCCTGCTCTACTAAATAGTTCCCATAGAGAATTATCTTAAGCTGTGTCCTCGCTAGAGCAACTTTTTGTCGCTTATTGTTAAATGTTTCTAAATGATTCGACATATGTCAACTTGCGACAATATTATTTTGTCCAATGAAGTAACATAATTGCAGGAACATTTGGCTTTGTTCCTGTGTCACTGAAAATTGAAGGTCCACTGAAGGAACTATATTTGTTCCTTTGCGACTTGTTGATGCGTTGTTGCTAATTTTTCTTTTTTTTTTGGTTGCTGTCAACAGAAACTGTAAGGAACTTAAAAAAACATTCGACAACAACTAGTAATTTTTAAAGAAACATGGAACATTAATAAAAGTTGCTCATCGTTGCTCCAGTGAAGACGCAATTTTATGCTCAAGAAATACTCTTCTTTTAAACAAATAATAATATTATTCGCGTAGCAAATTTCTGGAAACGTAATGTGAAATCGATTTATCGAATGTGAAAAAGCCGCATCTCTTCACACTTAATATATAGGATGAGTGTGTCGTTATAACTCTTACTGGAAATAGAATATATAGATATTAGATAGCTCTTGGATGAAGCAAGGCTTACTAGAATCATTCGTTTCAATTACATCTGATAATGCGATATGAGAATATTATACGGATTACGGAGAA